TAAATAAATAAAAAAAATTAGCCGGGCGTGGTAGCGCGCGCCTGTAGTTCCAGCTACTGGAAGGCTGAGGTGGAAGTATTGCCGGAGGCCAGCAGGTTGAGGCTGCGGTGGGCGGGAGTGGCCACTGCACTCCAGTCTGGGTGATAGAGTGAGACTCCAACTCAAAAAAAAAAAAAAAAGAAAGGAGAGAGAGAAAAGAAAGTGAGATGGTCCAACTTTCCAGGAGTTTTGATAAAAGATTTTTAAAAATTGAATCTTTTGATTAGAAAGTAAACTTATGGCTATTTTTTCCTGATCTCCCTATCATCAATCAACATAGAAATTTCCAGTAAACAATGCACTTTTCTCAACTCTTTTAAGTTATGCAGTTGGCACAAATGGAAAAGATACACAATCTTTTTCATAATGAAAATTTTGTGGTTGGTGCAATGGCTCATGCCTATGATCCCACACTTTGGGAAGTCGAAACTAGAGTATTGCTTGAGCCCAGAGTTAGAGACCAGCCTGGGCAACATAACAAGACCTCATCTCTACAAAAAAAAACAAAACCCAAAAACTTGGGAGGCAGAGGTGAGAGGAGGCAGAGGTGAGAGGATTCCATGAGGCCAGGGGTTCGAGATTTGCATGGGCAATTTGGCAAGACCTCAACTTTACAATAAATAAAAAAATTAGTTAGGCATGGTGGTGCATGCATATAGGTCCAGCTACTTGAAAGGCTGAGGCAGAAGGATCACCTGAGACCAGCAGGTCGAGGCTGTGGTGACCGTGAGCGTGCCACTGCACTCCAACCTGGGTAACAGAGTGAGACACCAACTCAAAACTAAATAAATAAATAAAATAAGGCTGACATCCATAAAAGTGGCTCCACAGTTTACACCAACATTATAGTATGCTTTTTTTCTCTTTTTTTCTTTTTTTTGAATCGGAGTCTCTAGCTCCTTCGCCCAGGCTGGAGGCTGGAGTGCTGGGCTCAGGCAATCCTTCCGCCTCAGCTTTCCAAGTAACTGGAACTACAGGCACGTGCCACCACCAGCTAATTTTTTGATTTATTGTAGAGACGAGGTCTCACCAAGTTACCCAGGCTGGTCTCAAACCCCTGGGCTCAGGCAATCTTTTCTCCTTGGCCCCCCAAAGTGCTGGAATTATAGGCTTGAGCCACCGCACTCAGCCTTTTTTTTTTTTTTTTTTTTTTGAGCTGGGGTCTCACTATGTCACTCAGACTGGAGTGCTGTGGCAAAATCATGGCTCACCGCAGCCTTGACCTCCTGAGCTCAGATAATCCTTCCACCTCAGCTTCCCGAATAGCTGGGACTACAGGTGCACACCCCCACACCTTGCTAATTTTTTTTTTTTTTTGTAGAGAAAGGTCTCGCTATATTGCCTAAGCCAATTTTGAACTGCTAACCTCAAGCAGTCCTCCTGTCTCGGCCTCCCAAAATGCTGGGATTACAGGTGTGAGCTGCTGCACCCAGCCAGGCTATTTCTTTTATCCTTGGCCAGGAAGGTAGAGCAAACAGAGCTAATATTTATTTTCGCTGTGCTACTAAGCCTTATTGCTATCATTTTACTCATTATACTGTGTTATCTACACATCTGACTATCCTATTGCACTGACAGTGTCTTGAAGATCAAGAGAATCTCTTATCAATGAATTCACGGTGTCGAGCACAATTTTTAAAATATATTATGTATTTACCAAATACTTTTTAATGAATAAATAAATGCAGAGACTGTGTCAAAATACAGATTGAACAATTAGGTTTAGGAAAATTAAACCACAACTTTGTTTTTTGATGATGATGATAAAGATTAAAATTGAAGTTTTCTAGGATTCCAGAGCTTACAGGCAATAAGCAATGCTGGCTGACAGGTAGGAGAGGATGAGATCTGGGACTGCACAGACACTCCGATCCAGCCCCATGCTATCACCATCACTTGTATTCGTTTTTACTAAGCTGAGAACAAGCAAAGTCATAGGGAGGAAGAACAAAACACAACACAAAGCAAAACAAAACACATTGCCTTCTTTCATGCCCTTATCACCATACTTTTCTCACTGGCTCAGCCTGTCGTCCCGCGCCCTTGGGAGGCTGAGGTGAGTGGACTGCCTGAGCCCACGGATTCGAGACCCACCTGGGCAGCGAGACCTCATCTCTACAATCAATCAAAAAATCAGCCAGG